GCGGAAAGCGTCTTCTACTTCCAGATCAAAACCCTTCAAGTAAATTATTTCAAAGTATTGCGATTTGTGCAACAGAATTTATCGGGGAATTAAGAGGGATAATCTTTTCTCCAGTTTACCTGCATTTCTCACTTTCATTTCGGTTTTAATCTAGTAATAGTGGCGAGTTGCTCGAAGAAAAAGGTTAAGCGAGCTCAGAGGGAATACTATTTCAAAGCTTTTTATCGCAAAGTAAATTCCAAATCACGCCGGTATCGACAGGATTAGTAAGAAAGTAAACCATTCGCAATTTGTTTCTCGCGCGAATCTCTGCCCGCGACGTTTCAAGTGGCTCGGATTCAATTATCTTGTTGATATGTTTGGCAATAAGTCAATTGTTAGAGAAATTTACTTCTCAGAAAATATAGAAATGTTTGCGACTTTGTTGACGGTCGTACACTTGTTCCCCCAAGCTAATTTAATCTGGTCTTGCGGAATAAATTTATCTTTTTTCCTTCGAAGCCCCTACAGCAATCCATGTATTGCGGTGTCCCGGTAGCGAAAATGACCATTCATCCTTAAAGAGCAGTGCGTTATCAATCTGTCATTCCCACTGCCCTTATTAGTAATTTATCAGCCCACATAAACCTTAAATCGTGCAAATTTATCTTTCTATTTCCTTAAAGACTCCAGCATTCTTGGAAGGAAATCTTGGGCAGGAACTTTTCTGGAAAGTTAGAATATAGGATGTGCCGATTCAAAGACTTCTGTTTGCCTGTAGAATTTAGCAAATGTTCGTTCTTGCTATTACTAACTTTCCAACTTTATGTTTGCACTTGAGATACAGTTTGGTCGTTAGAGGTATTTGAAAAATTGGATTGTTTCAGAATTACGCTTTGTTAACAGCGACAAGACAACAGTCAAAGAAAATATGAGATTTCGTTGGAAAGGTTGCAATTTGTGGTTTTTTTGGGTTGGGAATTTTTCAAATTATGTATGTAAAGGCACTCGAGCTTTAGATAGACAAGGGCGGATCAAAAAGAGAACAACGACAAACAGAGGCGTCTTTTGTTGTATATGAAATTTAAAAAATTATTGTCGGGGGGCCATGACCCCCGTAACAACCATGATGACATGGATGGTCATGATATGACATTGGATTGGATAGAAAATTAAAAATTCGATTCGCAAGTTTATGCCAAAATTTCATGTTTTCCGTCCCGTTTTTTCTCATTTCTCGGGAGCAAAATGACCAAAACCGCTGATTTTTACATCATTCCAGAGAGAACTAAATGGCCTTTATAGAAAGTGAACCGTCGATAAGGAAATGTTGACCGTTTTCCCAAAAAAGTCTTGAATTCAAGAAGTTTTAGATTTTCGAGTTTTTTTTACTTGCAAAATCGACTCAAACATAACGCTGCTTTTTTCGAAGTTTCTCAAGAACCATTCCAGCCACAGAATTCGTTTTGGCATCCTTGGATAGAGAATTGAAAATTGGATTTAGTCGTAACAACACGAGTGGGGAAATTCGGTTAGTTCTTGCCCAGAAGGCGAAATTTGAATATCAGACACTTAGGTGCAAGATTGTGCCATTATTTTATGTTTTCCGGCCCATTTTTGCTCAATTCGCGGGAGCAAAATTAGCGAGAACGCTCATTTTTACATCATTTCCTAGTGAAATTAATGGCCTTTTTAAAAAGTGAACCGTCGGTTAGAAAGTGTTGACCGTTTTCCCAAAAAAGTCTTGAATTCAAGAAGTTTTAGATTTTCGAGTTTTTTTTACTTGCAAAATCGACTCAAACATGACGCTACTTTTTTCAAAGTTTCTCAAGCCACATTTGAGCCACATAATTCGTTTTGGCATTGTTGGATAGAGAAACTCGATTCAGTCATAAGAACATGAGTGAGGAACTTTGAGCAGTTTTGACCAAGAAAGCGAAATTTCAAACATGAGCAGCGGCAGATCTAAGAAATTCAGTCTTTTGTTGTCTATGAAATTAAAAAAAATATCGTTAGTCGACATAAACCCGGCACTAAGTGAGGGTCATTATGACCCCCCAAGACCCTTTCCTCTGGATCCCCCGTTGAAGATAAAACTAGTTTAGATTCAAGCGTTTCGATTTATTGGCTAAGAGCCGGGGAAACGCATTCCGATCTGACGCAAACTTAATATCCTGTTTTTCACGCAAATAAAATAATATAATGTAGGTTTTTAAGCCCTGTATATCGCGTTTAACCGTACAAGCCTATATTCCGTTCTAGCCGTATAGTTTTGTGATGGATGTAAGAGTTTTTCTACATAATAAGGATCAGCCATGCTGAAAGTGTTCTGCTTCAACCATTCCTAGATTATAAATAGCGTTTTACTGTTTGTTCGACGACTACAGATCATTCATTAGGCTATTTTTATAATTTGGCTATTGACATTAAATAAACCTTTATTGTATTGCACGAAAATACTTGTTTAAAATTAACATTCCAATTGCTATTGATTTATTGGGCAAGAGAATCGATATGGAGTACGTTAGTAACATTATAGCCAAGTATATCAAGGTAGATAAGCCGTTTTAGTTCTAGCTTTATAGTGTAGGGACATAATTGAAAATAGTGTCTCTTTTTCAGGGCGACGAAAATAGCCTAGAATACAGCGATGAAGAAACCGCATTCATTAATTCTGCTGGTAAGTGTTTTCCTTTTACTCGATTAAAGCATTTATATATGGTCAAACATTACATAAAACCGGATGCTTTAGAGTTGATAACGCCTTTGAATATTAAAAAACAGAGATAAACTAAAGAACAAAAATCATTTCAATGATTTCAGCAATTTGCCACTCAAAATCGGCATCAGCTGCAGATTTGGAATTAGCGCTATTGAATAGGGGACAGACTGTTCCATTTACACCTTAATTTTTAAGCTTTTCTACTTGATCGTTAATTTTTGGCGATTTTTTTAAAACAAGATTGAATACAATTATCTAAAAATCTGAAGGTGCACCAAGTTTTTCAAAAATTTGCCACTCAAAATGGGCCTCAGATACAGATATGGTCTTAACTACGTTGAATAAGGGACATATTGCTCAATTTGCGTTGCGGCTTTAAAAGCTTTCCACTTTGTTCTTCATTTTTGGCTAAAACAAGACAGAACACAGTCAACAAATGCCCAGAAGATGCCCCAAATTATTCAAAAAAATATTTCTAAAAATGGGCATCTGGTAGATTCAGTATTAGCGCCCATAAGTAGAAAGGAGAGAAAGTTGGTCTACTGGTTCAATAAATTTAAAATGTTTTTATTGTATTTTGAAATTTTAAATTGCCACTCGAGCATATACCTATTTTAGGTACGAAGTTGGTATTAGCACTATTAAACAGACACATTATTGCTTTATTTGTGCGATAATTTTGGTTAAGCTTTCCAATTAATCCTCAATATTAGGTGATTTTTTAAACAAAACTGAACAGGATTTTTTACAGAGTTGAAAGTGTTGCGGTCATTTTCAATAATTTTCCACTCAAACCTGACAGGGGACAATAACTTGATATTTATTGCATTGATTAGAGAAAATCTCGTTCTATTCGGGCAATTACTGAGGAAACTTTTCACTTGATCCGGAAGGATTGGCAAATTTTTCAAAATGAGATTGAACTTAGTTCTTTAAAACGCAAAAGATCTTGCAATACTTTCAAAAAATCTATACAAGAAAATGAAGTTATATAGAGATTGAGTGCTCACACCATTGAAGAATGAAACTGTTGTTTCATTCTTGTAAGCAATTGTAAAATTCTCCATTTTAACTTGAATTTTTGGCAACTTTTCATGCGAGACTGACCATAGTTTTCTGACGAGCAGAAGACGTCGCAGATTTTTTTAATAATTTGCTGCTAATAATGGGCGTATTGGTTAACATCTGAATGTTGATATTCAGTTTGTAAAATAAAGAAAATATAATTTTTTTATGTGCTTACCATTAAATTTTTTTATTTCATCAGGAACTTCAGACCAGTTTTTTAACGAGATTGAATCTAGTTCTCTAAATATCATAATATGGCTTATTTCTTTCAAAAAGTCGCCATAGAAAAATGCCATTAGGCAATTAAATAGAGAACATTTTCTTGTATAGGTGGGGCAAGTTTTCAAACATTCGCAAATTGCTGGCAAATTTTTTAACACGGGATTTAATTTGGGTCCCCGAAGAGCAAACAGTGTCGCAATTTCTTCAAAAAATTTCCACCGATATCAGACGTGAGAGGCTGTAATATTAAGGCTGTTGAGTAGATAAAATATCGATTTATTTGTGTAAAATTTTTTTCGGTAAGCCAGGATTATTTAACGAAATCTTCAAAACGCGACTAATCGTAATAACCCGGAGGACAGAAGAAACTGCAATTTTATCAAAAATTTGCTTCTCCAAAATGGTATTAGATAGAGATTTCAGATTATTACCTTGATTAGACCTGTTGCTCATTCAGTTTTCAATTTTTGCAATTTATTACTCGACCCGAAAGTTTTAACGAGTTTTCTTAAACGGAACCGAATAAATATTTTTTAAATACGAAACCGACCCTTTAAAGTCAATTTATATGATAAACGCAGACCTCGAATAACAAGATTAAAATAAATATATTTGTTTTAATTAAACGCGCTTAACAGATACATATACCTAGTTCAGTTGCATGAGCTGAGAAGATTTTTCAAATTTTCACTTTGATCAAACCCTAAAATTACAGAAAATCAAAACAAATATGCATATCCAAATTAGCGTATTAAATTACAAAATATATTTTATTTAAATTAATACAAATTCTATATATGTATGTATATACAAATATTTTATTAAAGCTTTAAAAATTAATAGCCTCTTAAATTAAGTATATGATACATTACAACACATTCCGTAAATAATGAAAAATAAAATACAATTTTCTTAACTGCGAATGTAAGAGGAAGAGAGAAGAGTATTATATACATATCTTTCACAAACAATAATCGGCAGTCGGCGGGGCGTCTAGGCACGCCCGTGCTAGTGAGGTGGCCTTTGACATTCCACTGACGTTTAGCAATTGCGGTGTATAATGTCGGAGGTACAGATGTTATTAATTATGTGATTTTTTAACAGAAACACAGCCGCAATTCGCTTGATTAACATTCCTACACACAGTACAATATATAAACTGGTTGGAATATTATTTTCTTTAATCCCACTTACAATGACACATTCATAAAATCGGTTTTAAAAGATCGGTTCAGGATTTTAAAGATATACTGGCAAAACTTAAATTTGCTCCGAATCTAGATTTCCCCCAAGAACAGAGGTAAGGTGACACAGTTCTTCACATCGAGAGCTAATTCTTAGGATTTGAATTTGGAATTGCCCGCCCACTTCATAAATTTCAATGTTTCTGAGTAATCAGTAATTTTTAGCATTACCAGCTTTACATTGTTATCTTCTGAGATCTCCGATTACGGTAATAATGGGATTTTAAAACCATGAGGAGTTTCAAAATTTCCCTGCAGTAAAAGGTAGTAACCCTCCCGAGGCGATGTCACGTATCACAACCCCTTTCTAATTAATCTAAACTACATTCAGGCTCGTGACACACCAGTGAATCAGTGCTAATTATTAATGTTGTAGGATCTGAAGATTGTGAAAAACAGGAAATTGAAATTTCCAAATTACTCAAGGTAAGTCATAATTAAATATATCTTATATTCAGCAACCAAAAGCCGTTTAGAAAAGATAGAGGCTTAGTACTACTAATCAACAGTATTTACACAGTTGCAGCTAATAGACGCTTTTATTTTAGAATAGCATGGGAGAAGTCAGTGAAAACCCATTGCAAATGTCTGATATACAGGAAAAATCCAGCTTAGAATACGAAATTCGCGCCAAAAGTGATCTCAAGAATCACAAGCAATCTCCAAAAAATGATCAATCTATTAGGTCAGAAATACTCCACTATCAGTAAGTTCAGATAGATTATTCTTATATCCTATTAGCATTCCATACAGCTAATGTGGCTCATTAACATATTAACTTCAAGCGCTAGGCGCAAAGCCTTATATAGCCAACCGATACTTTATTAGAATAGCTAATTAGTTGGCCTAATTTGAACTAAGGCCTTGAGATTTGCCATTTCATATGGAAAAAAACATCTCAGTCAGTTTGTGCTCTGGATTGTCTCAAGATATTATCCTTGCTTGGTGTCTGTAATACTGCCAGTTCAATTTTGGATTCAATGCACTTGCACATACATTTTAATCCTCTAGCTAACTTTCCTTTCACTATTTTTTTTAACTAGAATCAGTAGTATCCCTAAATTTTATATCTAACGGTTTGAACACATCTGTTTATTGCAGAAAATTATTGTCTGACTATGAGAAGACAATATCTAGCCAGTGTACGGAGTTAGAAAAGTTGAAACAGGAACATGAAACGACGAGTAGGCACTTTGCCACACTGGAATTGGCTTTTTCGGATGTCTTACAGTAAGTTTAGGGAACGATTTACCTAACAATTCAAGCATCGAATGTATGGAACGTATTATTTTAATTTTCCCAGAAAATACGACCGAAGTAAAATGATAGTTGCCGGCTTTAAAAGTAACGAGGACGCCTTAACACAGAATCTCCAAATCGCCGAAGAAAAGTTAAAACAAAATGAGGCAAAATACGAGTCCCTAAAAACATACGCAAAATCTCAAATTGAAAAGTGGGTATTGATGAAAAATTCGTGGTACTGTTTTCTGATGGATGCTATTTTGGTTTTCAGGTGTAATGTAGAAATATTAAATGTTAGGGATAAGTATGAATTCGAAAGTAGCAAGTTACGAGCGTTGATTAAACGGCTGGAGATAAAATGTTCCTCGTTAGAAACATCGTTAAATCAAAAAACTGAAGAGTGTGACCAGTTGTCAGCATTGTGTGATGATATCACAGGGAAGCAGGTATAAGTAAGCATTTTCATGGCCATAAAAATGTCATTTGGTTTTTTGACTCACTAATTTATTGCTCTTGTTCTATTTCATGCGTTTTAAGGCAAGTAGGTACTTACATAACATTTTAAATACGTTCAAAATAAATTAATTTGACTAATTGATTACAAGATTACAGTATTACTTTAACGTGTTTAAATTGACTATCACAAAGTCGCATTCATAATTCTATCAGTTTACAGATAAAGTCTTGTTATCGTCTAATTGAATCGAGTTAATATTAATAAATGCCTTATTCAAATTGACATTTTTCTGGTTTGGCTCATCCAAATATAATTTGTTTTGTGATTGTTATATTTAGACAATTATTTTTGCATCATAATTTTTATATTTTCTTATTTACATTTTGTATTGTTGTTAATTTATATTTTTATAACGATTTTTTCCGATGTAACATATTAACTTACTAGGCGTAAGTATATAGTATAGACATATTTATTCTATTCATGCCTGTAACTTATGAACTCATTTGAATTCGTCATTCGCTATTTATGTATGTGTATAAGAAATTTTGAGTAATTCGCCTCTCTTCAGTTTTACAACGGTCGAAGCTAGGAGGAATCGCTATGCTAATTGAGATTATTTATTTTATCTTCCAGACAAAGTTTACTTTTTTTCAAATAAAATTCACATATTTTTTGTGTGGATTGTTCCTTTTTATTATTCGTATCCGCTATTGTTTTTTTGCAATTGTAGAAAGTCTGTTTTAAACATTTTAATTAGCATAGCCTATAATTGAGTTTACATATTTTATTACGTTGTGTTCATTTGAACTAGTTGTGTATTTCGAATATTAGCGTTTATCACTTTTTAAACAAATGCAATTAAGCTGTAAAAATATTATTGACTTACATTGTGAGCATCCAACTTAGATATAGCAGCCCTTGTAACTGCATTAATTACTGTTAAAACTTAAATTGTGGTTCTGCTTATTTTAAGGTGAGATGAACTTAATAAATAAAACATGGTGTAAATATTTGGCTATGGTAACTGATTTTTTTAACAAATTTGCACGTTTAATGAAATCACTTGATCGGGTTATAGTTTCATATCGTACATCTTTCGAATTATTCGCCCAATCTTACTGCTAATTCGAAAATTTTCGGTGATTTTGCTAGTTTTGTTGTAGTTCTTTGGCATATCAGCAAGACTATTGAGTAATATGAACATATTGTTTAAATTAATAAATCTGTTAATGCAACCACTATAGACCCCTATTAAAATTAAGGTCTCTACGAAATAGTGCTTCCTTTGAAAAGGTATCTGGATACAAGGTGACGAGTGTGTATTAACCAAATACAAATGCAAGTTAAAATACATTGATTTATGTCACATTTCCCAACAAATTCAGCTTTTGTTGGGGTATATTTTCGTTAAATGTAGACAGTTTTGTAAAAAGTATCTAGTCTTATATTTTTCCTGTGAACAATGTAAATGTCGCATGTTTGGAGATGTTGCATGAATATGCACCGTCTACAATCTTGCGTATTTAACTTATTTTTATGTCCTACAACTTAACGTAACATATTAAACAAATTTTTAGTGTTCTCCACCGTGTATATTTTTAACTTGAGGTATTTTAGAATTTCTAATATTTAAGATTAAAGAACTAGGTGCTAATTTAGTAAGTACATATAGAAGGCTATATTTTCTGACAGAACATCATTAATAAAAATACGCTAGTCCAATGTATAGACAAATCGTCATCAACTCCTCACTATTTTTGAGTCTCTGGTCTCTTCGTTTGAATGAGACTACATTATTTAGATTAGATCCACATTTATAACAATGTACTAGTCTGGTATATGTATTTGTTTTATATTTTGTCCAAATACGGTCTGTTACTATTGTGTATCACGGCCTTGCAATAAAATTTCTTTCTGTCGTTGTTTGTTTCTACTCGTCTGATTAGTTTTTTTTGAATAGTTTGTTTTCGTAGTCAAATTGGTGAACATTGAAGTGCGTATAGATATAGCGAGCAAATTTCGCCAGATTTATAAGGGGTTTAGCACGAACAACTCGCGGCACTCAATATTGGAATTGTTTTTGAGACGCGATAAGTTCATTGTTTACTGTTGCTTACTAAGAAGTGGGCCGATAAAAGTACGTAAAATTTAATCGAAACAAATTGGTGGAATCCCAAAAAGAAAGATAATTTTTTAAAAGTTGCGTCAATCGGTCGAGACGAGCTTATAGGCGTTCTACAGAAACTAACTAAAGAACGTTAGTTTTAAACTTGTCCCCAGCTTTATTGCCAAAACCAGCCACACTGGCTCGGCTTGATATATCTATACCCAGCTTAATAGTTTTGCCTTGGTAAACCTACTAAAGCGTTGGTTTACGCGATCATTAACTTCACCAGATAATATCGGTTGGTCAAAAATACGCCAGTGAAATTTTGGAACTCTATTCTCTATGAAAAGAAAATACCCTTGGTATCGTTACTAAATCAAGGCAATGTTTGAATCAGAAAATAATGTTTAAAATGGAGCATTAAATTGTTCAAAATGCCTTAAATTCTATAGCATTGTCTTCATCAGTTCGTCAAGAAACAAACGAGCTCATAAATTAATCGTGCATTTTGAGAGTTTTAGATAGTTAAACGTCCTCCCTATCTCCCTATTGATTTATTAGGATTAAACACGTTAATTACGGCAGAGACATTGTCTATATCATACTATCTTACGGCAGAGACATCGTCTACAAATTTGGAATTTTTGGCCAAAAATGTCAATATACAAATCGTATAATTTGCCTCAATTTCATCGTGCGGAAACAGAAAATAGAGGCATCAAGCGCATTTCGAGACTTCAAACGTCCCCTATTCGCAATATACGAACGTAATAAAATCCGGTCGTATTTGTTCAACTGGACACCAACTTATGTAAATGCTCAGTTTCGTTACTTTAATATTCGCAGTCCCACAATAAGGTGCGTCCCCCAGGGCGAAGTGAAAAAACTTCATTACTTTCTGAAAAACATTTATTGAAAAAATACACAAATCAGAAATGGCAGTGTTTAAACTACTATTGTGAATACATACAATGCTTCGAATCGCGTAAATAATTTAATGAAGCTACCATTATCGAACATTAACGTAAAAGTCGTAAAATAATACTTTAATCCATGGAATGTGAAACCTATAGTACACGGTTTGTGTCAAATAAAAACAATTCTTATGGCTGCCAAACAAATCACAAAACAACACAACTATATAGGAATGTAATTCGACATATTCATAAGGTTTATAAAATTAGCATAAATAACAAAACTTGTAAGGCAAATTCTTTGTGTTGCAAATTCAAATGTTTCATCATTTTTCATTTAATTAGTCGGTTGTTGGTCTTCTTGTTAAGACTTTGTCAGTCTCAAAGAAAATGATGAACGTTAAGTTGTTTCAAAGATGGAAACATTAACGTCATCTCTGAGCTTCCATACAAAAATATTTCACCTATTTCCTAAACTAATTACTACATCTAAGGCTAACTCTTATTTGCACAAACTAGTGACAATGGAAACATAATTCAACTTATTACTGTTACATTATTATTTAGATATATGAAATAAAAATATGTATAGTCGATATTTTTTCGTTAACACCTAATTGTTCTGTCTTCTTTATTTTTGGCACTGTTGAAATGAAAACACGCACATTAGTCATGAATGCAACATCAATCCAAACTATTTAATGAATAATAAAGTCAACATTGCGAGAAAACGAATTTTCCATTGAGCCTATAATAGGAATCTTGTCTGCGGTTTGTTTAGAATGATGAAATTTCCAATCGGTTGATTGTGTTGTGTTCCATGTTTCAATTCCGAAAATACAGAAGACAGAGACAGGAATGAAGCTAATTACAACTTGTAACAGAAAAGTTCTCGATTTGACCACTACCTGAAAGTAAGCCACTGCATCACAATATTAATTACCTAGACATTTTCCACTTACATGATCCTATGTTTAATTTAATTCTCGACAAAAGTTCTGTTCTGTGGATATTCGTACATGATACCTGTTCATTTAGAGTAGTAACGTGCTTGAAACACTTCGTTCGTAGTGCTTTCACAGCCACTAGTGTAAATATTTAAACTTTATATAATTTTTCATAGTATAGTGTACAGAAATAGGTAATTTTTACTTATTGTAAATAGATTTTAAATGCACTTTGGACGGCATACTTTTTGCACTGAACAGTCAAATTTCAGTGAGCAGTTGGAATTAATCAGAATAGCGTAGCCACTGAAGCTATGAAATATTTGGCAAAGGCGATGCACGATAATATGTAAACAAAAATTTACAGATAGAAGAATTATTACATATTTATCACTGGTTTTGTAGTAAATTTCTAAAGGATCTAATGTTTAACTTCTAAATATAGCAATTTTATAATTTAGTCCTTTTCTAGGTCCAAAACCTAGAAACCATCCATGTTTATAGCACCATATTACATTGTCTCTAAAGCGAGTTTGATTAATGCATCGTATAAACACTAAAATCGCACAACTTTTTTCTCGGTAGCGAGAATTTTCGGCAATAACATAATCGAAAAGCAGTCTTTTTCAAACTTATCTACTTAATTATTATTTTTGAAACATGCCAAATAATGAGCAAACTGTTTGAATGAATGTACGGAATGTGTTCTCTTGCGTTTCCATTCAACTGCACTAAGAGGGTCTGTTGTTTATAGCTCACTAGTATATTTAAACATATAACCTGGGGTTAGTTGAATAATTTGGCACTGAAACACAACTGTGATTTTCAAACCTATTAAGACCGCGACACTATATTAATAGTACTTAGGAATGAATGTATATACAGAAGATTACCAGCTCTTAGTTCCACCCAAAAAATCTTTGGTCAGACACAGTAAATTAAGTACAAAACGTCTCTCTTAAGGTAAGGGTACAGCTAGCACCAAGCTTCATCTCCACCATTTTGCGTGTCGTCGTCACTTCCATCATAGTCATACATATCAGCTAACTTACTAAATCGTTTACCAAAGCTCGATAGGTAATTGAAGTCAAGATCGCCATCATCAGTGCAAGACCCGAGCGAGGACAAAGAACCTGTGCTGTTGCCATCTCCTTCATACGCGTAATGCCTAACATCATCATACGGCAAATTGTCTGGATCTTTATCACAAGTATCTTTCCTGGTATCCAAGAAAACGCTAATGTCTGGCTCTGCTGTACCAATGTCAGGATTTTCTTTGCGTTGCAACGCCTCTTTGTTGTTGGCCATTGCAAAGACCGATAGGTTGTAATGAGCATCACATTCGCCGCCACCTTCATCTTCGTAGTTAATGATGTTTTCAGTCGTATCATCGATGTCTTTTTCATTAAGGTTGTCGTGTTGTCGTCTATGCACTACCACAGCCAACAATAGGACTGTAAAAATATTTAATTATTTAGATTGAAAGAAAAATTGTAGATTGCGAACATTCTGGCGCAATTTTTAAAGTTGAAGATACTGGATGATGAAAAGTACTTACAGAAAAGCACAGCTATGCACACCAAAATCGCTACCAAAAAGTTGGAATCTATGCCAAAAGTGATAGCTTGCTGAGTGAAATCGCTACAATCGGGAAAAGCATCAAGAAAATCTGAGGGTTGTCCTAGATTGTAATAGTTTGCGTTGAATGTGAAGTTCTTAACACATCCTCGAAATCCGACATCAGTTGGCGATATCGCGTTCCATAAAATTTTCGATTCCTCTTCGCTGAACGTCTGGCTGAGACCTCCCACCTGTAACGGTCCATTAATACGCAGCAAACGTGGTGCAAGTGTTTGAACTTGTAAACAGTTACTCAAACAGTTGTCAATTTCCATTTCTATGTTCTGAAACAACAAAAATAAATTTGTTATTAACTTGCCAAGTTGAAAAATGTTCTCGTCGATATATCTCGTCACGGATTGTTCACAATAAAACTTACCGTTTCAGCGGTGCTGTACGTGAAGCTAATTCTGATCTTATGAGTGGCTCCATCGTTCAAACTATTAACGTAACTGTTGCCTTTGTTGTTGTCCCTTGGGGAGACCTCAATTGGACCAAGACCGTTATCAATTTTGAGAACGGGTATCCCATCGCGAAGTTCCAGCGATATAAAATCTAGTAATGAAAGTAATGTAAAATCTACTTCGCACGTTCTAAGAATGCAATGATTACCTTTTGAAATCAACGCATGTCGATATGTCAGCGGCCCAGCGTAGAAAATAAGTCCATTATCATCTTTAGGAGCAACTGATAGCGTAATATCTGATGTGTTGCAAGATTCCAATCCTGGATACATCGCCCAACCCTTTCCGTTAAATGCTATGGATAGTATTTCGCAATACGGTCCTTCGTAGCCCGAATTGCACGAACATACTCCATTTGAATCCATCACGCCTCCATTCAAGCAACTGGTGAGAATATGATCGAAGCAGTCGCATTTCGCTTCCACTGTTGACTTGACTCCAACAAATGAAGTCCGATTTGTATAAACAACGGCAGGTTCTTCATCATTGATTTGCAACTTGTTCGAGCAAGAGTTTCCAACTCCACATGTATTTTCATTCAGGCATTCATTAATGCTTATCATTACAAACTCGACATCGAGTTCGTTTTCAAGCTGAAAATGTCAAAGATAAAGCGTCAGAAATACATCTTCAAGATCAACTTGTTATTTAGGCCAATTTCATAGCTAAACCCCACTTCTAAATATTTGAAATTAAATGAAAAATGTTGAGAAGAACAAAGTGAATGTTTTGTTTTTATATCACTTTTTATCAAAGTGATAGATCTGATCATCTTACCTTTTCTTGATTAGCTGTAATCTTATTATTAAGTTTCTCGGGAGCATAATACGGTGATCCATGTGCGGAAAATCGAACATCAATTAGCGAACTATTTGAGGGAGTAGTTAGTACTGTGAAGACGTCAACGTTCGATATCGATGTATTAACAATTTCAGAAATGCGTTGATGCAACAAGTCCTTTTTACTCTTTCCAGCCTATGAGAAATTAACGTGAATAGATTGCATTGATGGAAAAATATTTGACTTACATCATTCTTTTCAACAAACTGTTCAATATCTGCTCCGAGTATACGTATAGAGCCGGATTTAACGACGGCTTCTTGTGGAATGCTTTTAACGGTTACGTTGACATTTGCAAAAACAGTATGCCTCGGAATAAGCGGAAGGTTCTCTTCAGTTACATTAAAACGTAGGAAATATGTGCCTTCACTTATATCGCTTGACATAATTATCATGCCTCTGTCCTCTCTCGACAAGACAAAGTAGTCAAAATTGTCCAATTGCATAAAAATTTTGTCTGGCAAATCCCAATCGTCGGGGTCCTCAACGAATACTCTGCCAATCGTGATGTTTGTTTTCCAATTCTCATATTTATATACAAATATCTCACTAGACCCGTCTTGTGCTTCATTGTCATTTCGGTCACCTATGATTACCCTTAAAATGCTGACTTTGCTTAGCGGAGGCCTGCCGCTGTCGGTAATCAATATGGGAATGTCGTAGTACTTTTGCTCTTCTCTGTCGAATACAACTAATGCATGTAGTGCTGAACCAATTATGGTAAATTTAAGACGAATATCATCAGACGCCTCAGAAGATAACTCAAAAGTGAACGGGGGTCCATTGTCTGGTCCATCGTAGTCATCCGCACTCAATATAGTAATTTCGCTGAATTCTTGAATATCTTGATTTTCATACCAAACGACTTCCGTCACATTTAAGAACGGAGCATTATCGTTAATATCCTCCAGAATTATCAATATTTCAGAGTACGCATTCACTGAGTTCGGCCCTCCATCATTGTCGTAAGCATAAATGAAAGCTTGGTGAAACGGGCTTCCAAATGGTCTGTCCCGATCCAATTTCTTAGTTACCGTTACACAACCTTCTTGCGACACTTTAAGGAAATCAACTTCAACATTATACAAAATATGTTGATTGGCAGTTCTATCGGCAATATCAGGATCGTACGCTTTGACATTTATGATGCAACCATCTGGGATAGTTTCTTCCTGAATTGTTATGTTTTTATCGTGGGGTTCAAATATCGGTATTTCATCATTGACGTTGGCCACGAAAATTTGCACCATAGCGAAGTCCTCAAAAATGCCGTCAAAAGCACGAACTCGGAGACTGTACTGTACAATTTTCTCAAAATCAAGTCTGTTGTTCACTCTTATCCTGCCCGTAGTGTTTTCGATGGAAAATGCATCGTCAATGTTCCCGTCAACAATGCTATATGTAATAAGCGAGGCACTGTCTTTGTCTACAGCTTTCACTTCACCCACATCCTTTCCTATATCAGTATTTTCCAGAATATCCGTACAATTATAGATGGAATAAGTGAATTTCGGGGCATTGTCGTTACGATCTTCAATACTAATCTGGAACGTCTGTACGGCCTCATTAGGATCTCCAGTGTTTCTCAAGGCACTAGGTGAATTGTCATAGGCGCGTACTTTAACGTGATAAACACTCACAAGTTCTCTATCAAATTGTTCCAATGATTTAATGACTCCTGATTGCTTATCAATTGAAAATATGTCGGAGTGCGACAAGAGTTCATAACTGACAATGTTATTTTCACTGGTACCATCTTTATCAATTGCTCTAACCACCATTGCTTGGGCGCCTTTATCATCATTTTCAACAACACTACCTTTAATCAGCTCAATGAAATTAGGTAACTCATCGTTCACGTCAAGAATTCTTATTGGAATGGTTATAGACGTGTCCATAAGGTCCTTATTTTTTATTCGGACACTTAATGAATATTCAGTCACAGTTTCAAAATCCAAAGGACGAGCTAAGATAATGTATGCTGTATATGAATTACTTTGACTGGGTGTCAACACAAAAGTTTGATCTTTATTGGTTTGTAACGTTTTTCCTTTAATTAATTCAAAGGCTATTTCCTTGTCGTCGATATTTGACCTAAGATTAAAAACTGATTGTAGGAATGTAGTCCAGATCAATTATTTTCCACTTACTCAGCAACAATAGTAACCAGATGTTCGGTAAAATTGTTGAAGCTTTCCTTAAGTTCCAAAACACCGCCAGGAGTGCTTTCTATGACATTTGGTGCCTTTTTATCTGATCCTACAACTTCGATTGTAATTGGTGCTTCGGTGGCTCTTTGATCTATGCCATTATCTCGCACATACACTTGGCTGGTAAATTTTAAGCCAATTTTCTGGAAAATTACATTTAAATCATTATTTAATATGCCTAGCCCTAATCCTAAGTCCTAAGTTGCTCTACTCACCCCAGATAAAGAATCTTGTAGGTAAACAACTCCGGTATCAGGATCAATTCGGAAAAGTGTAGAAAATTCGTCGGAACTATCACGGAAAGAGTATGTCAGTCTTGAGTTATTGCCGTCGTCTATATCGTAGGCAAATATTCGCACTACTTCACTGTTCACTTTCAAGTCTTCCGCCACTTGGGCGTGATAAGTTTGCTGATCCAGTTGAGGAGAATTGTCATTGATGTCAGTAATAGTTACTTTGAATGTGCAAATATCAGATAATGGTGGCCTGCCATTATCAGTGGCTTGAACTGTGACGTACATTTCTTTTTGCCTAAATGGCTCGTCACGATCGAAAGGCGTATTAGTTCGAACTTCCCCAGTAGAATTGTCGATCGTAAAATAGTCTTTTCCTCCATCACGTTTCACTATTTTGTACGTGACGGTGCCACCAGCATTGGGTGGATCGCCGTCTTCAGCCTTCACCTGAAAGATAAAATGCAATTGACTAACCAGTTCTCGAAGTAAATTTGAAAATTATCAAAACGCTAAAAGCTCATTTTACCTGTATAACAAACGTTTTTGTATCTTGTTCTTCTTTCACTTGCGCTTTATTATACGTATCACAATTTGCAAACATTGGTTTCTTGTTGCTGTCAGTTGTAATCTTCTGACTCCTGGCCCTAACGGGCGAAGATGAGAATGGAAAATCTGATGGTGTTATGCTATCCACTGCAACAAAGAAAAATCATAAGTAGTTTCAAAAAAAAACTTCAGATAAAATCAATCAATTAAATACCTTAATGTTTAAGAGTTTTTACTAATCGCTTGTACCTTTGTTAAATGTTAAAAGCATGCAAATGGATTTTTTCTAATTGATTCTAAGAATTTTTTCATTTTAACAAATAGGCCAATAATTAAAAACGTTAACTCACAGTTTACTTTCAAAAGAATTCATCACCCTCATTCTCGAAAAAAAACTCAGGTCAACGGTTTAATAATTCTGAAAAAGTTGTGACAAATGACAAAATTCTGTGAAAATAGGCCAATTAACTTTACGAGCGTTCTTGTTTCCATGTAGCATGTACATCATTGCAACAGCCACGTTCACTAACAGTCTTAGAAGGCGAGAAACTTGTTTATCGACAATAAGCAATTAACAATCGCAAGTATAAATATTTACAACGAATCAATTATTATACTCTAGTTAAGCAATTTGAAAAATAAACGGGGACATATGTCTCAATGTTTCCAAAAACTTATGCCCATATGCGTAACAAAAACTAGTAGTAATTAGATTTTAAGGAGTTTATTGACATTCTACAAGCCGCCAGAAGATTAATGAAAATTCTATTTTAGATACTTATTTAAAACAAATGCTGAAATACCTAGTGCAATTTCACGTTCTGTACACAAAACAATTGTCATTAATTAAACAAAGATGCTCTATGAACTGGGCTACTGTTACGAATATGCAAAATTAATTGTAAAAAATGTGGGTAGGTAGCAATAAAGAATATTAACGGAATGATTCAGACTTGGATAACGCAAGTTTAATCATTCTGAAAAAATGCAACGTGGTGGAAGGTTTATACGAGATGACCTTTGCAAGTCCCAGAAATTCAGCGGATTATACTTTTATTCTTTGTTGTCTTTGGGTTGGACTTTGTCATGACCTTATCATTCTTGAGGGCCTTTGTTAAGTTTTATTCAACCTGCTCGATTCTATTAGTAAACGTTGTAAAAAGACCAACCGTATAATTTCTTAAAACGATTTACTTCGCTGCAGCGTTAGATAAAGCCTCGTTATATAATTTTGCAATAAAATATCAACACATACATTTTACTATCTTGTAGGTATGCATCAAAAGACACGACTCAAAAATGTTTATAAACAAGCTCGAAGCCGGCACACTTAAAAAATCGTAAACACACCATTAAGTCATCATTATCAAAGTCTAATGGAATTTTTTACATTGTGGCTTGTGGCGTCTTTCAACAACATAGTTTAGATAATGTAACGCTACGTTCGAAATTACACGTTTAACACACTGGGAAGATTGTATTTTTACATATATGCAACCCCATCACATTAAAAAAGTAGACTTTCTGATATAATTAGAGCGCAGAAGATATTGAAGAAAACATTTTGTTTGTTTTCGAAACGCTTTATCTCCATTACGATTTTACTGCACGGTTGGAGATGCGATATAATTAGACGTACCTATAATAGGAAAAATGCATTTACAAACAAAACTACCGAGTTAATATTAAAACAAGTGCAGAGCATCCGAACATTCCATAAGCAAATTGAGAATAATTAAATTTCAAATTAATACAAAAAAATGTCGCAAACAATCGAAGGTAATTCCAATTTAGATGAGAACTATGTTACAAGATTAACGGTTTTCACTATCCAAAATAAATTTTTAAGTTATGTTCCATTTTCAGGGCGATTCAAAATAAGCTGAATGCAGATGACTGGGAAAACACGCAGAAACCTGAAGAAATAGTTCGCATCTGTTTATTTCTAGAAGATATACAGAACTTCCGAGAATCAACAGGAAAGCTCTCGATACGTTAACACAAAAAATAGTACAAACTCCTATAAATTTTTCTACGGCATTTAAAATAGTTGGCATAACGCGATAATTTTCACATAATTAACAATTTAAAAAATGCGGAAAGGATATTATGAGGAGTCCAAGTTGATCCTACTTGCAATTTAGCCACCTTGAATAAAGATAGGATATTTTTCTCAAAAACTTTTTTCCATCTTGACTAGTACTTTTTGTTTGTTCAAACATGATAAAAAAAATCGCCTTCCTTAATTTGCTGAAGCTTGCCCGGTTCATGGCAATGTAAATGAAGCAAAATTGATTAAATGGATGATTTCTTAAGCACGCTTATCTGCTGTTTTCAAAAAACGAATTACAAAATTTCACTTTCAGGACCTATATTCCCTGATGCAATAACTAAGCTCTAGGCAGATTTTTATTCAGGTACACCCTGTACATACGAAACAGCAAGCACTTAGTGCACTGCAAGTGGCATTGTTTCTTATGGAAGACTAAGAATTCGTTTTTTACAAATATTTCCGGTTTAGGCGGGAGAATACTTGAAAAAAGATTTATGCACTTTAAATCTCCCCGAATATATGACGCCAATTTTGAATCACCCTGTATACTTAGTTATGAAATTTAATTAAACTGCTTATTCTAATGCGCAAAAACAATACAAGTCCCTTGATGAATTGACCGGTGAAACAAGAGTGTTTAATAGAAGAAACGGAGACATGTAAGTGTCTTATAAAACCGTCAAACGGATTTCTCTCATTATGTTTTTCTGAGAATTGAAGGAAAAAATTTCACTGGGCACAGTAATAATTAAATCCATAGGAAACATTCCTTCATTTCCGGTAGTTTAGGTAGGTTAACAAAACTCCTAGCAGCCATGACTGAATCCGTTATTTTTCATAGATAAGGTCGTGCTACAGGATCAAACTTACCAGTGATAAGATAAAAATTTGTACCAGATGCTTACTCGATTACATTGCGGGAATCTGAAAATTTGAACAGACCGCCAAACAAATGTTTGCCTTATGCAAAATACTGATTTAGCAACAAAATAATGTGTTGATTGTTGAACATGCAAAAAGCATTTTGGACAAATTAATTACTAAAAATTCGAAAATGAGCCAAACTATACAATTTCCGTCAGAGATATTGATTTTTCCTATACGGAAGGAAATTGTGACTCATATGGGAGCAGTGGAAGCAGCCCTAAATAGTAGTGTTAGATTAAGATTAAGGGCAATTTATCCAAATGGCTCCTCCTCGACAATATAATTGTGAGCAAAGATTTAAAATAAAGATGATGATAATGTAAACAGGTAGATAATTTTCCTGAAGTGTTTCCTCTTAATATTCCCGCAAATAATACCGAAAAGGTTTTCGTCATATTTATTTTTAATCGTTTTCTCCGCAGTTCCATATCGGCCAAAAAGACTATATTTTATAAAATAAATGCGCATCGAATGTGTTTTACTACGTTATCAAAAAGTGCAATCAACTTGGTTCAAACTGAACTAACAGATGTTTGAAACAGTAGGCAAATTATACATTCGAACATACAGATAAGAATTGAGACATAAAATTTATCGACACCCGCACATGATTGAAACAGTAATTTCTGTAGAACAAAAGAATGATTAACGACACCTAATCAATGACTGTTTGTGGGTGATGCGACCGGATAAAAGTTGATTCCCAGAAATGTAATTTTATTTGGTCATGGTTCCCAGACACTACCGTAACGATTTTCTCAATGTTTGCGAAAAACACCATCGAAACGACATTCCTGAATCATGAAAAAGTTGATAATGCAATGTTGCAATGAATATTGAGTAGTGATAACCGAATGGGTCATAAATTGAAATCACATTGGCATATTGCAAAGGGGAAACCACACGAAAACATAGATTAACATTTCACCTGGATTTTCTCAATCAGCAGCCTCTTTTAGGCGAAAGTAGTTTTTCAGAAAATTGACATCAAATCGGTTTCAGCCAGAAACTGGTGAGTTTTAGGCCGCCGTGGAAAACCATTTCTTCCTAAAGTTTCGCAAGCACGCGTAACTTGCATCTTCAGAGGTGGTTCGCTCAACTCAGCCACCACTTCTGAAGATCCACGAAAGTGTATCATTTGTAAAATTAACGCTCGGTTTAAGTTGTTCCTGAATTATCAAATAGTTATGCTTCCATTGCTTGAAATTGGTGAGTTTTTCGGGCTTTTACGCGGTTGTGGAAAACAATGTCTTCCTGACGCTTCGCAAGCATTTTCAGTTGTTCAGGCTTTTAAGCCGTGGTGGAAAAGTATTTTCTGCCCCCCGGCGTATCGCAAAATCTGATTAGTATCGCGTCATTGTAAGTTTTCGAGCGAAACTCCTCTGAAGATGCAAGCCACCCGAGCTCGGGAAACCTACGAAAGAAATTCTTTTCCACGGCGAAAAACCCACCAGTTCCACAGTTGGTATTGTTTAATATCAGATGTTCGTCAAAATTGCATCAGCATTATTGTAAATTTCCAAATATGAATTGACTCCTGTTAAAGACATATACCTGAATCTCAAAAGGCGGTACTTGCGGTCGAAGGAAAAAAGCTGCTCACGTTTTATTTACACCATGCCACCTCAAGACAAAACGAATAATTCTGCAAAATGAGGCACCATTACGAGGTCAAGAACCGCAAAGCTAAATGAATTCCGGAATTTATCGTTTTTCTCTGATTCGTAAAAATCACATATCGTTTTATTCCCGTAGTTGCCCATTGTTTGCTTAAATTATGGCACGCTTTGCCATATGAGCATGTGGCTTAAGAAGACCAGCTTTACAGACTGTTGGACAAAATTGACCTGAAGTCAATAACATACATGCAACATATGTGTATTTTACGTCAACCCGAAACCAATCAGTTTTATTGACCAGTTGGAACTGAAGTCTGTTGGCAGAAACATGAAGTCTACTTAAGGATTGTAAAATTAGGCAAAAGCAGGAACATAGCTATTAATTAAACAAGTGCAATTAAAATCATATCGCGACAATTAATGAAGGCAGAACCGATTATCAAGTATAGTTCGAGCGGAATGTACAAACGAGAATCATAACTGTAGGTATAGAGAAGTTTAATTGTTTTGCGGTCTTATGCAGGATGTGCAAGTTTGCCCCTTCTAGG